GGGGTCCTCCCGCGTGACGGAGGGGGCGCCGACGGTGAGGGGTCCGCATTCCACAGACAATGTCACGTTTTTTAATCCCCGTTTTACTTTATTTGCGCCGCCTCCGGCCGCGAGGAAGGCCCAAACAGTTAAAGTTCGACTTTTGTCCCTATACAGAGCGCCTGACGTGGAAGCGCAGCGACGGGACAAGGACGACGTGTCCTCGCCGCAGAAAGCGACAACGAGGGAGGAAGCGCGGTGAGGGGGAGGCCGAGGACCCACCAACCGCTCTGAGGGTGCGCGCGAGTTTCGCGCGAGGGTGACGCGCGAGACGAGGCGAACAGAGGAGGAGGAGAAAATTCACACGGACTGGACGATCGAAGGGAGAAAGATATGTCCGCCGTCGAGAGTGCCTTGGACGTCCTTTCCAGAGCGGCGACAATGGTGCAAGGTCAGTTTACATCTCTTGGCGATTTCGTTTCGCGAATCTGGACCCTCCCGCTGATACGTGGAATGTAAAACGTTCCGAGAGAGCTCGATGAAAAGAGAGAAATTACACGTTGAGGGACAGCTCTGCTCTCTTTTGAAATGTTACAAAACAGTTTCCCTCTCTTGTCGTTATAGACAAAGAAGTGTAGCTCCCTTTCTCCTCTCCCGCCATGATCGCCGAATATCGCGGGATTGTTGGCGGTTTCGTTAGCAATAATGACACACGTTGAGTTACGTCATTCTCAAAGCAGGAACTCGGGGATTTTATTATCTTCATGACGGTCGTCTTGAAACAACGAGAAATGTTCGGCCGTGAGGAAAAGTATGTCAAGCGTTTCGAACTCACCTCGAATTTTCAGGCAGCGGTATGAAACAAAGGCGCCTTGAATTCAAAACGAGTCATTTCCATTCGGACTTGTACCACCGTACTTGCCATTCGCGGAGATTCTCTCGTGCCTCTCTCTCTCTTATACATCTAAATTTTCTCTTCAGCCATTCTCTCGAGGAAAGCGCGCGCTTCCTCCGCTCCGTTTCTCATCCGGAAAATATAATATCAACGCCTGATTGGCGGGAATACGCGCGATACGTGTATAGAGACACAACTTGACAATGAAATGTAACGCGCGAAATCGCGAATTCGCGCGGAATGCACGGGACTTGAGAAACGGCGACAACTACTCGACGTGCCGTCGACATTCCACGCATAATTTGTTCAACAGTCATTCTATATTTCGCGCGCGTGCACGGGCGACGTTAACGGAGGCTCGTTCGTATGCAGGCTGGAGCGAATCGCCGTGGGTATATCGCTATTATTATCGGCGGGCGCCGAGTGTTATAACGCAACGTGCCATTACCTGACGTAAATTCGCGATCGTAACACACTGTCACAATACGCGCGATCGTTTTTACATAGAATCGATCGCGCGACCGCCGGTGAGCAATCGCATTCTTCGCTTTGTATTCAACTGTCCGACTTACGAAATCCCCTTTGCGGAATTATCCGGACAGTTTGCGCGAATGGTGAAATTGGAAGTGCAGGCGAACACACTTTAGTTATGACAAAGCTTTTATAATACAAAATTAAGTACTTATTTCTATAGTAGACATGTTAGATTTATCTATAGCGTGTTTATTTTACGCGTGTGCGTAAAACTCAGTTATTTTCTTTTAATAATTAAATAGCAGCTTAGTGACGCCAGTCAAGAAATCAAGAATTTTAATAAGTATGGAGACAGAATATTCTGTTTTCTAACGTTGACGACAAGATACATTGTGCAACGAAATTTCTGACTTCTAACTTAATTTTCACATCTTTAATCTGACGAATCTTACATTTGTAGACACTCTTGTAAGATTGTTACTTGAAGAGGACCAGTATTCCTGGCCGAAACGTTGTGTTTTATTATAAGAAAGAATTGCCAGTAAGATCGTCTCCATACTTATTAAAATTCGCAATTTTTTAAACAATAGAGTTATAAGAAACATTTTTAATCAAGCACACACGAGATAGCCAGGCCCGATTTTTCATTTTTTGGTTAACTGTTAACCAGAGGTTAATCTAATCTCCATCTTTTTTTATATTATTATCTAGAGGCCTGTGTCCACGATGCTAGGTCCAAGTTGTAGGTCTGAAAAATGTGTAGCCAATCAGCTTACAACTTTTATGGAACAGTTGCAAGTTGATTGGCTACACTTGGTCCAAGTTCTAGCGTCGTGGACGTAGGCCTTAAGAAGAGACAGAGACTCTACTAACTTCTGGTTAACAGTTAATCAGAAAATGAAAACTGGGTCTTGAAACGGGTAACATTGTAATAGAGCGTCGAGACTCCAAATTATTATATCTGTTTACTAACGAGGACTTCAATGAAGATTGTCATTTTTTTAAATAAAATTATCTGGCCTGAAAGAAAAATGGAAAGAATGCAACGAGCGGTTTCATTTCCACGTCATAAGGGCGCGTTTAACTGAATCTTAATTCACCCGAGTTCGCTGGACGACTACTTCGAAGTGCCACAACGTCGCTGTTCCGCATAGTTTTACCGTTTATAGTAATTAGATTCCACGTATTGTAGACCGAGTACACGTGCTCAACGCGACGCGAGTCGCGCATTTGCTGATCTCGAATTTTTACTCGTCGAGCGGAGCGGGTCTTTCGCTTACGCCGATGCATTTTGTCAGGAAGTTTAGACAGAATGTGCCGTGACTGCTTAACTTTCCATCGCATATATCTCACGGGTCGTATTCGGCCTCTCGAATAATGAATGCGAAACTGCATGCAAATTCGATCATTCTAGTAAATCGCGCGCGCGAACGAACGAGCGTTGACTTACGATCGACAGCATCGCTAATTATATTTAACGCAACCTCGAATATCTCCAAACGCAAACGCACGAGTTTAAATTAATATGTAAATAATATCGTTGCAAGGTATGTAAATGAGGGTCATTATTACCGGGTCCGGCATTAAATTTTACTGCTTTCACGATCGCCTTATCTTCATTTGTCAATTTTTTCTTTAATTCCTGTTTATTCCGTTAAGATTTTATGCACCGAATATAAAAGGGATTAAAACAGGAGAAATTATGTAAAATAAAGCGCCTCTTTCTCCATTTCTTTCTGTTTCTTTCGCGTTCGAGTCAATGGAACTCGGTGCGCGGTGGGTACATGGACATCGTAAGGGTTAAAACTCGGGTTAAAATAAACGCACGCTATCAACCTCGCTCGACGCATTCGCGCGTGCATCGCATCGATGCTGCCGGTTACATCGCGCATATACAGGGTCGCGCGGAATTATCGTATGTGTGTGTCTTACGAATCGAATTAATTTAATTATATATCCATAATCCCCTTCTTTCCTAAAAATTTAATATTCGTCAATGATATTTGTCGCTTTTCTCGAGTTCACGCTAGAGCAGAGAAGATTTGTGATTGAGCCTCCGATCTAAGATATCAAGAGTTCCAATTGACTATTGGCTCTCGGTTTTCTTCTTAACTGATCTATCTCTATTTTTATGTCTATTTTAACGCACCCGCAGAAGAAAATTTCCGGATCCAATGCTATTACACTTCAATGTATCATAAAATAGGATCGATACAGCGCCAATCATATTTATTGTAGAGAAAGGAATATTTTATCTTAATTTTTCTTCCTCTTAATATCGTAATATAATAATAATAAAATCTTAATATTATAGAGAAAGGAATATTTTAATCTCAAATGAAAAATTCTAAAATCTAGAATAAAATGACAGTATGTTTCGCCTTTTGTCTAATATCGTGGTGCCACGTGCCTTCGTACGTTGTAACATGGAGGGACAATTTATTCTAAACGCAAGAATATATAAACTTACATTTATATAAGTCACTCTTGTCTCAATATAGTAAGTCAATCTTTTTTAATTCGATAGAGGAGAATAAGAATTATCGATTTTATTTTGACATTGTCTTATTTTTATACTAAATGAGGTTGTGAGAAATATAAATGCGTCAGGAATATTTCTGTCTCGGTAACAGAAGTCCTTTCTGAGGGTGCGTGTGTGTATGTACACGAGATCGTGTAGAACTATCGCATATCCTTTGAAGTTAATACTAAACTCCCCATTTCCAATCGGAAATTAGAAGAGTTTGGACTAGTTGATTATTGGCTCTCGTTTCCTTAACGGGTCTATCTACTCTATTTTAACGCGCATATATACGGGATCGCGTAGAATCACCGCACATCCTTCGAGTTGATTAACTTAATACTAAATCCAATTTGCGTAGTTCTCTAATTTAGAAATTGGAAGATGAGCCCGAGCAAATTCGATTTCTTGGTCCTCAATTTTTCTTTTAATAGAACTTTGCCCTACATTAACGCATATATACGAAGTCGTGTGAAATTATCGCACGTCTTACGAATTGAACGAGAATCTAATTTCAACTTTAGTCGATATGAAAAAATCTTAAAATTGGAAGAAGGAAAATAACGAGAAGTATCCATTATTGGCCCCCGGTTACGATTCTCCCTTTCCGTCTCTCAATGCAGCGTTACGAATTTCTCTCGGGGCGTTTTTCTTCATCGGAACAAACCGTGTATCGAACATACGCAACTTGGACGAGTAATCGCGCGTTTTTTGAGCTTGACTCGGCTCAAAGTATTCCGCCAAAGGCGGCAAAAAGGAAGAGGGAAATATCGAGCGCGTTCAGTTCATCTCATCGAGTTCCAAGCGATCAAAGGGCACACACGTGCGAAGTTTTAGTCTCCGCACACCCAGTATATCGTGCCTACCTGTAAAAAGAGAAAGAGGGAAAGAGACCGAGGGAGGAGAGAAAAAGAGAGAGAAAGAGGGAGAGGTCGAGAGAAAGAGAAAGCGAGAAAAGAGACGAGTTGGCTTCCAGCCGAGAGCGCGCGCGCGCGCGCTTATAAATACACGCTTAATTCGCGGCGTATCCGTGCAGGATAACCCGCCTCGGCGCCGCGCTCGGTGTGCGCGCGTGTACGTGCAAGAGCGAGCCTCCTCCGATCCCACGTGTTGCACGGGGAGAAGGGTGGCGGCGGACGGGCTCCGAGCCGAGGCGGCGGATGAATGAATGAATCTTAAGACAGTCGTGAGTGGCGCATTCACGAAACCGCGAGCGCGTCTCCGAGGCACCTCGCTTTTATTTCAGCTGTTTTTTTTCCCCTCGTCCTCTCCTTTGACGACGTGCTTTTTCACCTCGCGGCTCCTCCTCGGGCGTCGTCGCCATTTTCGGCTCCTCCTCGCCCGCCGTTGCCCCGACTTCATTGTGCGCGGCCTCGCGATCGCGTTAAATGACCGTTTCGTTATCCGAACGTGGGCCTCGTGCGTGCTCGCGTGTCTCGCGCCTCGCCTTTTCCGCCTCTCCCGCGGTTTTCGACATTTTCTCCCGTTCCCCTGCCGCCCTTTCCTTCACTCGTCTTCGTTCCCTTCGTTCTCCTGGATTCCGAGCCCTTCCTATTGTTCGTGGCGATCTCGCGATCCTCTCTCCGACGTCTCTCTCGATTGTCTCACGCCGCGAGCGGATGAAGCGGTAATCGTATCGATTATCCGAGGCTGTGACTCCGTGTGTCCGGAAAGTAGAAAAATCTTCGGAGAGGAAACCAGTGAGCGCTTCTGCAAGAAGAAATGTCCACGTTAATGGGATTTTTATTGGGCATGTCGCGCAGATTCTTCATTTCGAGGACGAAAGTGGCCAAGTGCGTCGAAAGTTACGTCGAGGGGTAATCCTCGCCGACTGTCCAGTGATTATCTATTATATCGCCGGCGAAAGCGATCGACGTGTACATCGTGTGAGAAACTTCAATCGGCATTTGCGAGATCGATGCACATTTATATTTGTTCGCCAAGTACAAGGAGACTTGTGCTCCCGATCGTTTTCAGCAGATAATCGTGCGTCGGGAAAAAGTCGCGTTATCGACGAAGATAACTTGCTTTATCGGAAACACCGTCGTACCCTCTTTGAATTTTATTTACGCGCCCCCATCATCAGCCCGGTTGCTTTCTCGCGGTGCAATTAGATCGCGATGGGTGTCTCGATAGAAATAAAAACTATACACCGTTATGAGAAAACTAAAGATTTGCTCTCAACTGTGCTATGATATAACTGAAGCTGAAGAATACGCGGTGATTTAACCGAACGCTCGCAGAAAAAGATACAGTGCGTTTTGGAGAAATAAACCTTCGCCTTGTTCGACAAGTGTTCGTTCGATATCTCGTAAGAGAGGACGACACCGCGGTCTGACTTCGCCATTGATGCTTCCGAGACCGATAAAATGGAGCTCCCGTGCAAGAGAAGGCATCTCTGGCAGCCGTGGCTTCATGCCGACAGTTTCCGACTGCCTCGCAAATCGCAAGGTATACATATTAAATGCGGGCCGAAGAGATCGTACAAACAAATCTTATTGTAAAACAGTTTCAGGCAAATCCAAGAGGCGAGTTTGCAGCAAACAATTGGTTTTCTGCGTTGTTGCATCTCCGTTTGACAGAACTTAGTGTATAAGCTTTATTCCGGATTTTAAAATCGACTTCTGCTAACGCAAAACGAAATTAACGAGTAGATTTTCGGAAAAAAATTCTATTCATTCTGCAAGCACTTTGGGCTTGCTGAGATTTTATGTGTTGTGTTTCAGAGATATAATCGTTCAATTTGAAATTTAATTTTATCAATAAAAAGAAGTTTTTATCGGAGTCTACCGAAACACGACGAGTCTTATTAAATACGGCATCTCGCTTGGCATTCGACTCTTCGGTATTCCAATGTAGCGTTCGATTTTACGATCGTGGCAATTACAGAATACACTATTAAATTTGTAGTGTTGAATTTAACTCAATGCGTAAAAAGAGAGAGAGTCGTCACTACTTCTCAATATATTGTTAATTTAAATGGAGTTAAAAGAAATCATAAAACTGGTTGGATAACAAATGTAGTTGTTTTTCTAACTATGATTTATGTTAAAATTTGTATTACTAAATTTTACTGCACATGGTAGTTAAAAATAACAACATATTGAGTACCGGCAGTGGCGACTACTCTCAAGACAAAGTTAACAGTGTAGCGTTGAAAATAACAAAGTGTTATTATACTCCAAATATACGGCATTATGATCGAAATATGCAATTAGAGGTACATGTCGAACACTGTGCGATGTTGCAAGAGTGCTCTGCCCCCCACCCGCTCTCATCAAATTTTATTTTACGGACTTACAAGGAACCTTCGGCTCTCCCGATTTATTTGCTGGATAGCCTCAACGAATAAGCGGAAACGATGAGTCGCCCTATGATTTGGAGTCATAAAGGGACGCTCATGCGCGCGTTTGTTAATTATCGGCGGTACATATCGAGACGCTAACTGACTCTCGAGGAAATCCTCCCGCTCTGCGCGCTCCCGTTCGACTCCACGGTCCATTCATCTGTTCCCCGCGATGTGCGCGGCCTCTAAACCAGTTTCGCCATCTTCTTGACGATCCTCTCACGGCTATTAGGCACTTCCTGCCCATCCTGAGAAACCGAACTCGTTTTTACTACCCTCCTCCCTCGTCCTTCGTTGTCCTGTTTCTCCTCCTCCTCGGCCGTCCCGCTCTTCCTCGACCGATCGCGGCGAGGGGTTGTCTCGTTTGATTGGTTTTCCAACTTTAGACGCCCCGCCGCTCGGAAATAGACGACCCTCGCGATTTCCGATAGATTCCGATCGATAACGCGTCTCGTGGCGCGAGGCGCGTGGTAAACAGATGTAAGGGAAGAATTCTAGCTATGCTGGTGTTGGTGTCGAAATCGGAACGAGCCTCGGCGGCCCGACGTAGTCAATCGAACTTGCTTTTCACGCACGCGCGGCCCTTCAGCTTATACCGCTCTCTTGTCTAAATGGACAGTACTTGCGAAAATATTTACAAGCAGCCTAATCGCTCTCTCTCTCTCTCTCATGTCCACCACTCTTTTCGTCCCCACTCTGCGACCGTTAATTCGAAATAACGTTGGTGTTCCTTGCGTTCCATTTTATAGTTCGACAAAGTCGACGGAAAACGTGTCAGTGGTTTTTCTCCCGAGAATTTCCCATCTTTTAACGTGCGTACGTTGTTGTTTTCACACTTTCGGAGCCGTGGCCAATCTCGTCGATCGCGTCTCGTCTCGTACTTCTTAAACGCCAGAACTGCCAATGCCGTCGAAATTATCTGTTTCGCTTTTTTTTCATAATTATCATTCGTTTAAAACGTTTTAATTTCTGCATTTTTCCCCGATTTTTATTGAAATATACCGATGATAAGTTTTAAAACAAAATTTGTAAATAAAGTTTGATGTCCGATTCTATCAGTGTAGATTAACTTGCTTTTTATCCTTTTCTAATTTTTGAAACTAGAAAAGGATGAAAAATAATTAAACTGCGATTAAAATTGATAGAGATGAATATTAGTGTCAAAACGAAAAGGGTGCAGAGCAGTTCCATTCAGAGCAAAACACGTTATCGTCGCTTCGAAGCGGGACAGCGGACTGAGCGTGGTGTAAAAGTAATCAGTCGAGATAATAACGAATAGGATTCCTCATATCGAGTGTTCCTTCCTTACTTTGAAATGTCCATTAGCGTCTCTAACGACGAGTGCCAGTTCACAGCGATATTTCCGCTTCATAGTGGTATGTCTTTATGTGTTGCAGAGGAGAGACCGAAGGTGACGAATCTTCATCGAAAGCCGAGCAGCGCGTGGCGTAAGGAGCGCAGGAGAGATCCGATTCAGAGCGAGGCGTTGGACATGTCGGCGGGAAGATCGAGTCATCACCACAACAGACCGAGCGTGATCGTTCCTACCGCGCCGCAAGTTGGTAAGCAATCGTTAATAATACGAGTAATAGAAAGCCCCTGAAAAGAAGGAAAAGAATAATTAGTGTTACATCTTTCGGTTAAAATTTCTGACAAATTTCTGACTGAAGATTCGGACACGAGAAGATGAAGATAGCGTTTTCGTATTTCACGCGACTTAAAGTAAAACCGTAAAATTTCGAGCACACTTTGTATAAACTTACCTGCGACTGTTCTCATCTCCGAGTCTCGAGTTATTCGAAATATGTTTGCCGAAATGTCTCGGCGGACAATAAAAGTTCTGACTGTGCCGAGAGAAATAGTCCGTTGTTAGGCATCTCCCAAGTGTCCATTGTCGTTAGGGGTGTTTGTGCAGAGTATTTTAGGACAATGCCCGCTGCAACAGGGATGTGCAGATGCGATTTCTCAATGGAAATACGGTTAATCCCCTGATGGTGCACATGGTAGCATTTCTTCCTTCGTTAACGTACTTTCCTGAAACATTCATGTTCGTATTAGTTATGGACTGAATTAACGCGGTAACGGATATCCAGACGAGCATAGATTTATGGATATTGTTAGTAGAATTTTTTGATATTAAAAATAATAATAGTTTCATTTATTTGATAAATTAGTTAAATATTTAACTAATCAGCCAAAACGTAATCAATATGTAATTATATCTCCGAGATTAGGTTTGTCTAAACACTTACTTTGAAAAGAACATTACAATTTTCTACGTTTTTAGAATCTTGCAACACGCTAAAAATCGCGTTCAACCTGTTCCCACGACTGTTATACTCTTTATTTTTAATCTTTTTTAAAAATCATATCTGCTTTTGCGACTTTTTATTTTTGTATCCTGGTTGTATTTGTAAAATGTAAAATAAAAGCCATTTTACGTGTGCTTTACGTACAATAACTGAAAGTTATATAACTGGTGTTAACGTACGATGAAAGGATTTGTCCATGTTCCAGGGATCACAATCGAGGACACCGCTATGACGCCTATGCCGACGACGACGCCTACCGCGTCGGGTGGTCAGAGGACTGTCATCAAGATGGCGACTGGCGTCAGCGATCCTGCGATCGACGAGCACTTTAAGCGGTCTCTGGGTCTGAAGAAGTACGCGGCCGTCTTCAACGCCACTAATACGGACAAGGAGCCCGGCCTGAGCGGTAAGTAACAGACATTATGTTTGTCCCGCGAGGGATAAAGTGAACGCGACACTCTGGATTCAGCATGGACCGGCCTTGGGTGACGATCGCTCCTATGATCCAATGGCTGGACCAGTCTGGATCCAGTCTTGTCTTACAATTAGCCTCGCCTTAGTCTGGACGAGTCCTTAAGCGTTCTTTGCGCAGTTGACGATCATTTCGCGAAAGCGCTCGGCGAGACCTGGACGAGGCTTCAGGAAACCAAACGAAACAAGGATTCCACCTAACCACCGGACAGACTCGCCAGAAATCTTGTCATTCTCCTCGTCATCGTCCTCGCCGTCGCTTGATGACCGTGGTAACCCACTCGGGTGAAATCGTTCCAGTCTCGCTAAATGTATATTAACGATAAGTCGTAACCGATAAGAATGAGCGAATTCGCGATTGTATTCGAAGAATCTGCGTCCAGATGAAACTGCAATTAAAGTCTACAAGATATATAAGGATACATAAAGGGAAATAAACGCGCACGCTAGAATCTTGATAAAAATGCAGGATCTTCAAACTGGGGTTTTGTGTTGGTACTCGATATTTCGGGAAAAAGAACTTAGTAATAGCGAATTCGATGGCTCGCACTAGTGCGCACTGAGTGCACGCTAAGTGCCACCTAGAGTGTTGGCAAGTCCAGGTTCAAACCCTGGCTGAGGTAATATTTTTCTCAATAAATTTTCTGTATTATTAAAAATACCAGATATGGTCATGAAAATACTGAAGTTAATTGTTATACTTCACTTCATCTTAAATACATGTTGAAAAAGTATTTAGTCAACAAAATCATCTATACAGATGCTGTACATGTTAATTTACTGGCTAAGAAATATTTCAAGAGATAATCCTTTAATATAAAAATTGACTGTTCACAACAAGCCTTAGTGTGCACTCAGTGTGCACTAGTGCAAACAACCGCATTCGCTATAAGAAGTTAAAAAACGATAGACTAACAAGTTGCTACTTAGCGTCCCAAATATTAAGTAATTTTCTTAAGTTTATCAATTCACGCTTCAAATTAAATTACATTTTTGACAAATCAAGCATAAAAATCTAACTTCATAAACTTAAATTCTTAGATTTTTTTTCTTATATATGACCGATAAGCTTATATATTTTCTAATATATATTTTTCTCTTTTTTATTAAGTATATCTTACGAGTGGTATCTTTTAGAATTTATAATCATACGATTTTTCCATCCGGACTCCTTCGTAGACAATTTGTTTTAATTGATACGTACCGCGTTTTGTAAGGAGGGTATCAAGTGTCCTTGATCTTCTCGCTTTTCAACTGGGTGCTCGTTGTCGTCGCTTTTTTAGACACGCGTTTAAGAAGACGTTTCAGGAAAGTTGCACGCTGTACGGGCGTATTATTTAATATTATTGTATATAGGCACATATTCCTTTATTACGCCATCGCCACAGTCATTACCGTATAGTTCCGAGTCGCGTATGAATATAAAGTTATTTATTATAATGTTTCATACTTCCTCGCAAAGTAGTATGTTTATGTTTATATAAATATATATATATACATATGTGTATGTAATATTTACGTAAGCGTACGACATTATACGTCTATTCGTGGAAAACAATGATACGGCCCTCCAAGTACAGTTTCAATAAAGAGTCAGCTATTTTGCAGTTCACTCGTGTACAGCTCGCCAGCCGAATGCCCGATTGCATGCATTGAAAATTTCTCTCTTTCAATTAAATTGAGCGAAACCACTGACAACTTCGAACGAATTTGATGACTAAATATTCACACACACGCACACACGCTGTGCATCTGTTGTGTCTAATTAATTACATTCACGAGGCATGGGTCGCGCGCGCAAAGTAATTTAGACAAAGAACTAGACTCTTAATTTCCAACTAGGGGGGTTGGATCATTGTCCATGGGTGCATATTATAACAACGTCAGAGGGATCTCCTCGTGAGGGAGACGCGCGAAAAGCGAATAGAAGGAACTGTAATTTAACGAAGCAGGGCACCGCGTTAGTTATAAATATTGTGTAAGTGTCACGTGTTTTTGAGCCACTTTGGGCGCCACGTCTGAAGTTGTAAAGATAAAAACAATTGAATGGGATATGTACAGGCTAATGAGGATGACAGTGATGTATGAGAAAAATTAAATAGAAAGATGTTTAATTATTTTCACGGCGCTTATTTTTCATCCCATCTCTCCCCCTCCCTCGGTAGCGCGATCGGGCCCCACGCAAAAGAGACGGAGGGAACGGATTCCGCCTCGCTCCGGACGCTAATTGCCGAATGCTAAGAAGAGTAGTACTGATTTCTAATGGTGCTAGGAAGTCCAGCGCATACCCCAGCACGCACAGAAGTCAGTACCTCTACTTTCTTATATGCGGAAATTCTGTCTACCGCTCTTTACCGTTGTAACGCAAAGTGACGGCGAGCTTTCGAGCAGGATTGCCCTGAAGCCTTACGAGGCTGTTCCAGAGGAAGGTCAAGTATCCGCGCGGGAAATTCTCTCTTTCCTCTCTCTCTCTCTCTCGCTCTATGATATTAGATATTACACTGCGAACAATTCCTGGGACCAGTTCGTGGCCCTTGAGTGCGAAGGGTTCGATCTTGTAAAACAGACTGTTTACTTCGATTTCCTTTGACCGAATTATATCTCGCTATATACATACCTCCTTTCGTTTGTTCCTGGATTTCGGTGGTTTCAGCCAGCTACAGAGGTCGGCCACCCTTCGCGGCGAAAATGAGGATGGTTAAGCAGTTGATCGACCATGACTGGCGATGTGTTTTTAACACAGAAAATTTATTGCGAAAAATATTACCTCAGCCGGGGTTTGAACCTGGACCTCCCTTCACTCTAGGCAGGCGTCTCAACCATTTCGATCACCGAGACATATGATAATATTTATCGCAATAACAGTATAGATACGTCTACGCGTATGTTTTCGACTTTTGTGAACTGCGCACCGATACGGATTGTCGGTTGAACACAGCACTATCGAAACGCGATTTTTAAGTATCCCCGTTTCCTTTATCCTCCCCCCACCGTTTCGTAATAAATTTTCTGTGTTAAAAACACATCGCCAGTCATGGTCGATCAACTGCTTAACAATGGTTATTTATCTGCTGGCGTCAAATGATTCTTGAAAATAAGGACATGGAGAACGCACGGGGATGCGAAAGGACGAATCGTGGACGGGTCCCGGTGGGGTCGTCCTCGGAAAGTTCACGCTCTTCCCCCTTCGCGATCGATAAAAAGAACGATCGAAAGGAGCTCGTCCCGATATTTCGAGGGAGACTAACGCGAAGCAACGACCTGTCGTTCCGTCGCGGGACTTTCCCCGGCACGTACGAATGTGTATTATTCGTAGGTGGGCCCAGACGAATGGGACAGACTGTCCCGGGAGCGCTCGGATGGCTTCCTATATGCAGGCGGCCTGTTCACTTGCCGTAAAGCAAAGTGGTAACTTAATATTAGAGCTGAATATAAGTACGGTAATCCCATACCCGAGTCCTAAGTAAGTCTACACCTTGTATCCTCCCCCTTCCTCACGTCCTCAGTCATCTCCGGACCCTGTTTCCCTCTTACTCCGCGGTACCTCGAGCGTAATAACGCGACGGGATACTAGATATCGTCAGTGCTCTCTGCGCCAAGTGCAAATTGCCCACCACCCTCTTCGCCTATTGCAGACCTGCATCCTCGTCGTCCCTCTTCGTTTCTCTCCCCTTTCCTACCCCCTCCCCCTGCACGTGTGTAACGGCGGTTTTGTCTGTGTTCATCTTTCGCCAGCCGTAACTATCGAGAAAACCGTAATTATGCAACATGTTTGTCTAACTAGACTTGACGTTGAAATTTTTAAGGTAGGTAAGCGGGAATTATGTCGAAAATTAAAATATTCGACAAGTATTGTAGTTGGGAAGATCTTGGCAGGTTTCTACACGGGTTTTGACTAAAGTGACGCAATGTTCGACAGTAATAGTTTCAGTTTTCATCTAGCGATGATTAATAATAGATTGTAAACGAGTCTCGGACATCTTTTCACGACTTACTAACGTATCGAGCTTTTACTTTGATTCGAGTATCTATACGTCAGGGCAGAATTAAATTTGTCTAAAAATAGTAACCGTTCATGATTAAGTTTCGATGGCATTGTGCAATCACATCGTAATAAATTCCGACTTTTTGTGCAGACAAAGCGAGTTGTTCCGTTTATCCTCTCGTAGTCTGCGAGTGATTTTTAACGAAATGCGAGACAGATGTTTTCACAAAGAGACCTTGGTACCGAGATCAACTACGTTATTATCCACGGATTTCTTTGTCATGTTGCTGTTTATAAGATTCAAAACGCGGATTTCTTTTAGACATTTTCAAGGGGCCTCACCTCGAGCACGTTAAGTGCATTTCATATGCAGATTATATTTGTTTTCTTTTCACTTGCTTCGATATCTACTGATAATAAATGATTATATTACCGAAGAATTATTTATTGTCTAGAAATAATGTTGAAGATGTCAGACGAAATTTAATAAAAATGGTTAATATCTCTTTGATCCACACAGTAAAGCATCTAGAATAACGTTGGTCCTTGAAAATTTTCAACTTTTTCGCGAATGGCTTGCGAACCTATGTACTTAAGGACGGTGAAAGCAACAATTTCATATACTTTCCGTTCATTGTCTAACTCGTCGTTGAACACAAAGAGTGGGCTTCCGAGGGAACGCGACACATCCCGCATAATTTATAATTAATCGGGGCAAGCGCCTCACTTCCGGGGCACGCAGCACAGCTGGAAATGGGCCAGTGGATCGCGCTGTGGCAGATGCTCACGTAAAACGCACATTTTCCAACATGCAGGTGTTGCCCAGCATATTGGAAAGGCATATTGACCCTAAGGCTGCGAAGCGAATCCGAATTACGTTCGTACGCGTTCGAATGTGTTTCTCTGTGTCTCTACGGCACAAATGTTGAATAGTAAAACGGAGGAGAACAAGGGAATACAAGGTAGCAAGAGACGATTTGAATTTTTGTGTGCTTGGAAGACACATTTGAGATAATTATGTCACCGTCAAATTGATCTTGCGCATTATCATCAAATAAAGAGAGACTTATGATTAAACTAAATGAAATAAATTTGAAAAGACATATTATGTTATCTGGTCTAAACACCGCGGATGAGACACGGCTCTGAAATTCTGTTCGTTCTCAGTTTCGGTTGTAACTTAAAATATCGTTCGTTTGCAGACAAACAAACGGACATGAGGCTAACTAAACGAAGTAAAATTGCTTAATAAAAATACCGAAGCACTGATACACTGAGAAAAATTTCCATCGAATAAACCGATTAAATATAGTGTTTTTGATGGTTAATTTTTCCGATTACGTTTTCCGATTAAATTATGGATATGTCCGATGAACTTTAGCCGACGAAATGCAGTTGTCGATGAAATTTGATCGAAAAACCGATCACATTTTTCATCGGATATATCCGTTTGTTATGTAATTGGATTATCCGATATTTAATCGGACATTTTTCTCAGTGTAATATCCTGTATTAAATTAGCGAACTCTTGATCTAAATTTACATGAAAAGACCACAGACTCACAAAAGTGATTGGAGGGAGTCTCGATGTCCCTCCGGTAGCAAAAAAGCTAACGATTAGAACTATGCGAAAAGGACCGTAAGTACAAATGATTGAACACAAAAGTCAAGCGATAAATGACTCATCGAAGCGTGCCTTGCTGCATTCCCCTCCGTCCAACGCCATGGGCTGCGTTCGGAAACGTCACCCGAATGCTCCCGTGTATCATTTTATCCTCGTTTAACATTCGGTGAGCAACAAAGAAAAATGATACACTCGAGCACTCGAGTGATGTTTCCGAACGCGGCCCTGCAGATGGAAAGCCATGCAATGTAAGCGGTGTGTGTCTTGGCTTTTGCTGCTTGCAAAATGCGTGTGCGCGCGTGTATGTAAGCGTGCGTGCCAGACAGGAAAGCTCAAACTCCGTGGACCAGCGGAAAGTCCGATCTCCGTAAAGCGCTTGGAAAAGTGTTTCGGCTCCTGTACTCTCGTGTGCTGTCCAAGCAAAAAGGCACGAGCATGTATTTTTCATTATTGCCGACGAGCGATCGTCAATAGAAGGCATCGACCAGCGAGGTTGCAAGTCAAATCGGTCGACTGTGTTATCGCGATTCGTCGACGTTTTACTAACGAGATTCTATGCGCAATGTCACGAAAACAAATTCTGGATACGTAATTACGAATTCAAGACTGAAAACTGCAATAACGAGGCTTGCATGCCATTACGAAAAGACAATACAAAAAGGGCAACAAAATTGACGACGAATTCACGAAGTTTCTTAGTGATTACTTTACACGCTTCTGCATGCTATATACAAAAGAGCGATGAACCAAACAAAGAGTTACAAGCGGAAATGTTACCTCTTGAGAACGTTTCTTAAAATTAGCTGGTATATACAAAATTACTTATTGAGTACTTACGCGTTGATTGCGTTGGTGATCGATAAGCAGGTATCGAGCGCCGATCACATACTAGTTTCTATCGTCTACGGAGACGCGACACGTTTGTTTACGTCAGGTCTCTCAGGCGTATCTCGTTTCTGAACCAGATCCGGCTGACCGCAGGCCGGCGTCGTTTTTCCGTTTTCTTCTCTTACGTTACACGCGCGTACCGTGTCACACCGACGCGGTATAAGCGAAAAACAAAGGCAGAAGCGGAAAGAAATCGGGAGCGCGACAATACCGAGGAACGGCGTACGTTGTGTCTCGGCATCAAGGTTTCCTCGAGGCGTTTACGATCAAAACGTGTAATATGTAATTTAATCTCGCGGAAGCAACTCACGCAGGAGAGATAAGAGCGATTAACATAATCGAGGTCATAATAAAATCTAACTGTAAGCGAGCAGATCGGGACTGATTGTGAGTGAGCGGACGGTGATGCACCGCGGTTAATCAACGACGGAACGTCGCGAATATTGATTTTAAGATATCCGCGAGTCAATAAGATTGCAGAGTTGACCCAAAGAAGATACAGATGTAAAGTAAAATTATTATATACGTAACGCGGAATTTCACCACGTCGTACGGTGCGAGTACACGCTGCGGAAATATCGTAGAAACTTAAAAGGAGAGCGGCAGTTGCGCGGGGAGGAAG